GAGGGTAAGCTACAATCTGATCAATTTCTTGAATGGGTAGAAAAGGTGGATCAATTTTTTGAGTGGAAAGAAATACCTGAAAATCGAAAAGTTCGTTTTGCTAGCTTAAAACTTTATGGTCATGCTTTAACCTGGTGGAAAAACTTTCAAAATAATAGACTTAGAAGGGGAAAAGAAAAAGCCCAAAATTGGGAAAGAATGAAGGAGAAAATGAAAGGAAAATTTTTGCCAACTGATCATGCTCGAACAATATTCCAAGATCAACTCAAAACTGACAAGGCTTATCATGTGGCTTTAAAATTGGAAAAGCAACATCAAAAGGAAAATGGTCACAATAAAATCATGGAAACGTATAAACATCGTTCAACTGGCAGGATTATATCTCAATCTCAAACTTCTGGGGAAACATCTGGTCTAAAAATTAAAGCTTTTGAAAATCAAAATAGTGATAAAGGAAAAGGGATAATGAGTACTAAACCGACTGATCAACCTAAGTTAATTGGACCATGCTATAAGTGCGGGCTTTATGGTCATCTGTCAGCCACTTGTAGAAAAAATAACCCACCAAGAAACAATCTCATTGAAAACAATGAAAATTCAGAGGAAGAAGAAATAAGTGAAACTGAATCTGAAAATGGCAATGAAATAGAAAAAGTTGATGTTGAAGAAAATGAAGGTGAAGAGTTTTTAGTAATTCGACAAGATTTAACGACAACAAATGATAAAGAAGACAGATGGTAAGAAGAAACATTTTCAAAACAACTTGTACCATCGAAGGAAAAATTTGCTCCCTTATGATTGATAGTGGAAGTTCAGGAAATTATGTTTCTCAAAAACTGATCGACAAACTTAAGCTTAAATCTAAACCTCTTGCAAAATCCTATAAGATCTCTTGGTTCAAAGAAGGAGGTGAGGTTTCAATCACTAAGCAATGCACTGTTAACTTATCTATTGGAGGGTCATTCAAAGATCAAGTTGTTTGTGATATTGTACCTCTTGAAGTTTGTCATATTTTGCTAGGTCGACCTTGGCAGTACGATAACAAAACTATTCACAATGGAGAGAAAAACACATATACTTTAGTGCAAAATAATAAAGAGTTTACTCTTCATCCACAAAAGAATGTGCCAGATTCACCTGTTAAGAAAAACACAGTTGCCAAAATTACCTCTCCTAAACTGCTTTTAAATGCTAATGATTTGAAATATTTTGAGGTTGCTTATTTGGTTTTTGGAAAAGAATCTGATCATGTTTTTCATATTCCAAAAAAAATACAAGCTTTATTAGATGAGTTTTCTGATCTGACTCCTGATGATTTACCAATTGGATTACCTCATATGCGACAAATTCAACATCATATTGATTTAATACCTGGGGAAACTTTGCCTAACCTTTCTCATTATAGAATGAGTTCGACTGAACATTTTGAGCTTTTTAATCAAGTATCTAAACTGTTAAAAAAGGGGTTGATTCAAGAAAGCTTAAGTCCCTGTGCTGTGTCTGCTTTATTAACTCCAAAAAAAGATGGAACATGGATGATGTGTGTGAATAGTAGGGCAATAAACAAAATCACCATTAAATATGAATTTCCAATTCCTAAACTGGATGATATGCTTGATATGCTGAGTGATTCCTTTTGGTCTTTCAAATGCTTCGAGTACTTTTATGAGAACTATGAATCATATTTTGAAACCTCTCATTGGAAAGTTTGTTATTTTAAAGAGGTTGTTCGTCTTCTTGGTGTCCCTCGTACATTTACTTCTGATTGGGATACTAGTTTTTTAAGTCATTTTTGGAGAACTCTGTGGGCTAAATTAGGCACTACTCTTCAGTTTAGCTGTGCTTATCATCCTCAAACCGATGGACAAACTGAAGTTGTCAATTGAAGTTTGGGAAACCTTTTGAGATGTTTTGCTGGTGAGAAACCTTTTCAATGGGATTTAATTCTACCCCAAGCTGAATTTGCATATAATAATTCTGTTAATAGAACATCTGGAAAAACTCCCTTTAAAATTTTATACGGTCAGTCTATTCCACATATTTTGGATAGAAATGGTTTGTCTTTACCTAACAAAGTAAGTGCTGAAGCTTTAGAATCTTTTGATCATATCAAATCGGTCAAACAGCAAGTTCTTGAAAAACTCCGTATAGCTAATGTCAAATACAAAACAGCTGCAGATAAACATCGAAGAGAGGTAGTTTTTAAAGAAGGTGCAAAGTAATGGCTTACTTTCGTCGCCAACGTTTTCCTGTTGGAACTTTTGGGAAGCTAAGCAGAAAAAAATTCGGACCTTTTCGAATTGTCAAAAAGCTGGGCACAAATGCATACCTTTTAGATCTTCCTATTACTGTTGGAACTTCTCCTATATTTAATGTTTTTGACCTTTCTTTATATGAAGGAAATTTAGGTGATTCTGTGGATGTTGAAACATTACCACTCTCCACTTCAACATTGAATAAAGAAGATCAAATTGAAGATGTGGTTGATGTGAAAATCACTAAAATAAGACATGGCGAACACAATAAGTTTTTGGTCAAATGGAGTAATCGTCCCTTAACTGACTGCACCTGGATTGATGCTGCTGATCTAAAAGTTCGAAACCAAGAACTATTTGACAGAACTGTTGAAGCTTTCTCATCAGGAGATGAGCCTCTCCCACCAGGGGGGAATTGATGCATTTTATTTTTGTATTGCATTTTAATTTATCTTGCATTATTTGTTTTGGACAAATTTAGTTATGTTTGCTATTTTATTTTATGCTATCCAATGATGGTGGTAAATCCAATGATCATGGTAGGAAAAGGATTGGGTTTGCTTACCTTGGGTTTGCCAGCTTTAGGGTCCACCTTATCCTTTGGGCTGTTTTCTAGTTCTATGGGAGCCTTGGCTGATTTCGGTTTTGAGCTTTAGTTGTTGAAATTTTAGTGGTGCAAGCTCATTATTATCATGTGGAGGTGTAGCTCATTATGAGCTGATGTTTAGCTCTAAATTCATTATGAGGTGCAAGCTATTTGGTGAGTGGAACTTGTCTCTTCCTCTTCTTCTTTGCCTCTTGAGCTGCTGCATTATTTTTCTTGTGCTGGAACCGTGGCCTTCAATGTGCTTTAATAGTGGCTGTTGGTTTCTTGTGCTTGGTTGTTGGAACCGAAATTTCCCTCCTTGGATTTGCTGTGCCGTTTGGGGTTTCTCTGTGCTGGAACCGTGGCCACCTCTTGGATCTGTTGTGCCGTTTGGGGTTTCCCTGTGCTGGAACCGTGGCCTTTTTCCTTGAAACTTGCTATGCTGTTTTTTCTGTGCAGGAAATTTAAGGCTTTTATCATTCCATTTATGGGGATTCTTGGGTTGTTTGGTTCCCCCTTATGCCTATATATATGAGATGTTTTGTGATGAATTGGTTGGTGAATATTTGAGAGCAAAGTTGCTATAACCTGCGGGTTCTTCTTGGAAAAGCTTGAGAGCTTTGTCCACCTTCTTCCACCTCCTCTGGAAATCTTGCGAGCTCTTTCAAACCTTTCGTCTCGGCTTCTAACCTCTTTCTTCTCTACGCAAGTTCCACTCCACCTGTATCTTTCTTCTAAGTTCCGTGGGTAAAAGTTGTTGGCTGTTTTGGTGGCATTTGCTGGAGGAGTTTGGTAGAACGTTGGATCCCTTTTGCAGTGGTGGACCCTTGGTTTGCATATCTAAATCCTTATTCTTAAATATATTCCTACACTCGGTACATGTGAGGAGTCCTCTTGCAGGATGTTCTGAGGATAGTGTTTAGTTGTTTTATGTTTAATTTCGTTGCTAACTTTTCTTTGTGTTTTGGTTTTTTGGATGATCTTTGCTCTTTCTTTCTGAAATTTAGTGTTCCATTTAGTCTTTTGTGTTCTCCAAGAAGTGTCTTAAACTTTTAATAAAAGTGTAGTTTGATTTACTTGACTTTCTCTTTGAGTTTTGTTTCGAGTTGCTTGCATCACAAAGGTAGTCATACCACTTACATTTATCATGGAAAATGGTAATGATGGTTTGAATGTTGAGGTGAACAATAAGTTAATATTTTGGAGAGTCAAGAGATACCCTTAATGTTAATGGATTCAAATGTCTTAACCCTGTGAGATTTAATAGTAGGGATATAAATTACGATACAATTGGTAGAACTAAACCTAGGTTGTTGTGATGGAGAACTGCCTTATGAGCATTATGTGATAAATAATGTAATTTGAGACAGTATATTTTTGAAAGTGGAAATAAGAGAGCCTGTGTCTATAATATGGTTTTCAGTGCCGGGTAACAACAAAATCAGCAGCAAATAATTTTATCATGAAATTTGAATTGAAGATGGTTTGTTTGGTAAAACTCAAAGGATTGGGCCAATGCATGACTATTGGAGATAATTTCATATGAATGGATTTTGATGATTTGGGCATGCTGAGAGATGAAGTAATGCAAAAATCATTAAAAAGAAAAATGTGAATATTGAACATAATTTCATTAGAAGGAAAAAGGGGATGCCAAACATCATTTAGCCAGAGTTTTGAAAAGTGACTTGCATAAACTAGACTAAACATTTCATGAATCATTAAACAAGTATAAATAGAGAAGGAAGATTTATAAAGGTATTTTCAATAGTATTATAGCGGTGATTATACTATTTTTTTTTTGTAATTTTATGCCGGTTTTATGAGTGAGAATATGGTATTGACCTAACTAGTAAAATTGAAGGAAGGTAAAGAGTAGGAAATATGAGGATTTTAGTAGATATATGTGCATGAACACTTTCTTCATGTCTAAAAATTTATTTTTTGTTTTATTTATTTATTTATTATGGTAGAATTTATTAATATTTATTTAAAATACACTCTCATGCTTTGCTCTAAGCACAAATATTATTTAATCTATTTATTATTATTATTATTAATTTTGGTTTAGTAGATAATGATCAGTTTTTCCTTCAATTTATTTCCGAATTAAAAGTATTCACCAATGTGAATATATTTTTCTTTTTGAGATGTCCTAGGTTCATGCGGTCATTGCCGAAAATGATGGACCCAAGTGGTGGGAGAGAAGTGCTGGAGCAAATATGATTGATATTCATTCCACAAAGGAGTTTCTTGAAACATTAAGCCAAGCGGGTGATAAGCTTGTTGTTGTTGAATTCTATGGCACTTGGTGTGGTTCATGCCGGGCACTTTTTCCCAAGGTTTGATTTGTTTATATGCTATCTTCATTTTCATGTTAATCCGCCTTATCTGATCAATTTTAGTCCGATAACCTGCTCCAGTACCATGCACAAATACAATAGTGTACATGCATATGATCACATGAACATTACATTCACATATGGATAGTTTTCTTTATTGTATTCATGATATAAGCATGTGTAAAGTGATTCTTCACGCTCATAGATGTCAAGGTTGTCAAAGTGTGAAGTGCAACATGATGGTCAAATGTTTCTTTTTTATGTTGTTGCTTTGAAGTATGAATCGCAAACGAAGTGTTCACTTTGATTTATTGAAGCTTATATATCAAAAAGGAATGTCAATAATATTATGTTACTCAAGAACTTTCATAAAAATCTTTATGATGAAATAATCTATGACATGTATGTCAAATATTGACAAGGAAATCTATTATCAACTAGTAATCAAGTGATGACCCATGCCTAACTTAAAGAAAAATTAATATGCTGTGAATATTTGAACAAAAATTATGAATTATATCACCCTTGTGCATCTATGAAAAATATAAATAAAATATGGTTTTTAATTAATGACTTAAACATAACACAATATTGATAATAAATTAAGAAAATATCAAATTATTAAACACGTTTTTATAAACAAACCAAGTGAAAGGAATAAACTAAAGATATGAATGATTTGAGTCATAACTTATAAGTCATATCCAAACTCTAAGCAATTATAAAAATCGAGTGCTCCAAAATTTAAAATAAAATGAATATAAAGGCAATAATGCAAATCAAACATTCAATAACCACATCATCCTGATCGACTCTTTCTACAACAATTTCTTCTTCATTCGTATATTCATTATTTGAATCGATAAAATAACCCTCAGCTTCACCACCTACTGCTTCATAATCAGCAATCTCATGTTGTGCTAGAGTATTTTTGTCTTAATAGTGGAGGGTCTTGATGTAGAAAGTCTTTGAGCTTGACTTGATAATGTTCTCTTAGTTGTATAGTGAGATCTCGTTCTTCTACTTGGATCTACTTCTAAACCTAAAATAGTTTTTATATCCCGCCATATTAGTTCATCATCAAACTAGTCATCTCTAGCATCATCCATCTAATTGAGGCAGTGAGCCACTCACAACTATTATCAAGAGAGTCCAACTCATTTGAGTCAATGACGTCCTAGTTATCATGCCTACGCTTAAAAGCTTGGTTGTACTTTATGCAAATCATATCATTTAGTTATTTATTATCTAGATGCTTCTCCAACTATATGCACTCAAGTCGTGTGGATGAATTGATTAATATTAATCTACACAAAGTAGTTTTGTAATTAATCGATATAAATTAAACAAGATCAATCTATACGATAAAAAACATCTTAGTTGTTCAAAGATGCTCCAATTTTGATCACGTTTAGAAGAACTACAAGACAAACCACTTCTACAAATGTAGTGTAGACGCGCACCATGCATCTCCCAACAAGTTGCTGAGAGTAAATATAATGATAAACCCTAAATCATGATTATGATGTACTAAAGAATCAAATGAATAAGAAATTCCAATATAGGTTATACTACCTAAATACTTCTTAACTCTGCTTCTAATGGCATTCTCCTTTCCAAAGATACCAATGCCATCATTTTATTTAAGAACCATTGTGTCAATGTACGCTTTTGAATACTTTATTCCATCTTGTTAATCAGTTGATAAAGACTATCAATGATACTCTCATTCTTTATGAATCTGGATTTGTTTTTATGGAAGAACTTTGGATTGACATTATTTCTAGCTTTATGAAGATCTTGGTCCATTTGATCCTTCCATCTTTTATCAATATTATCAAATATTTTCATATATTTACTCTCATTTCCATTGATAAACATGTGCTATCATATCTTGGTCCTATCAATATAGCACTTTCACTACAAAGGCGGTCTTTAATGCATACAAAATTTTGTTCCAAAAGGACGGTGAAAGGATCATCTGACACACACTCTTACGTGTATGCTTATAAGCAAATTTTGACTGGTTTTGATCTCCAGAACCGAACATTCTCTTGAAATTCTCCTTCTGTCTATAAATACTAGGATATTTTTAAGAAGTGGGAATCGAGTTATAGGCCTTAAACTTTTCTTCCTCTCGTAAACTTTCTCATCATGTTCAGTGCAAGTTCATTATTATAAATGAATCCAAAGACTTCTTAGACCTCCTTTAAAGTTCCTCTAATAGTTGGTATCTTCCAAATTCTTCATCAAATATAAACAGTGAGCTGCATATGTGTACAATACAAATGTCGTCACCTTTCCACAAGTGATCAACTTATCAAATAATTGAAAAGATTTAAAATGATAGTTTAATATATAATAATTTACTTGTATTGCATTCCCTTCCCCAACCTTATCAAATTCAGCATTAAGCAACTCATATAGTAAAATTGCTTGGGTTGTGACTTTGAGCGATCAAGGCATTAATAAGAGTACACATTTTAGATGTCTTGAGTTTATTGTTTAGAGTGATGGTGAAATAGATGGGGATATTATAGTAGAATTCAAGTTGGATGGATGAAGTGGAAGAATGCATTGGGCTTGTTGTGTGATAAAAAAGTACCACTCAAATATAAGAGAAATTTCTATGAGACAGTGGTTAGACCTGCAATGCTTTATGGCGTAGAATGCCGGCCATTAAAAGAGAAGCATAATATTAAGTTAAGTGTTGCGGAGATGAGGATGCTCTGGTGGATGAGTGGTTTTTCTCTTAGAGATAGGGTAAAAGATGTGCATATATGTGAATAGGTTGGAGTAGCTCTAGTGGCGGATAAGATTAGAGAGAGTCGCCTTAGATGGTTTGGTCACATAAAACGGCGGCCTTCCGATTACCCAATTATGAGAGTAGATATATTAGATTTAACCTATGTTAAGAAAAATAGAGGTAGACCTAAAAAGACTTGGTTAGAAAATATTAGAAATTTCCTTTCTTTATTAGATCTAAATGAGAATTTAACTCTTAACCGGACACAATGAAGAAAAGAATTCATGTAGCCGACCCCATGTAGTGGGATAAAGGCTTGATGTTGTTGTTGTTGTTGATATCAATGGATCCCCCAAGAATAAGTCACTTGATGCTCTTCAGATATTTAAGGTCAGATCATTTTTATAGAAATGCAATATAGATAATTTTATTTTAAGAAAATACTTAGGAAGATATATTTTTATATTTTCATAATTGTGTATATTCATCAAGGCTTGGTTAGAAAGTATTAGAAATAATATTTTTTTTATTAGATTTAAATGTGAATTTGGTTCTTAGTAGGACATAATGGAGAAAAAATAATTCATATAACTGACCCCACTTAGTTAGATAAAGGCTTGATGATGTTGGTGAATTTATCTAGAAATTGATTATAGTTCAATAGCTCCTGTTAGTTTATCCATTTTGACATAAGGCTACAATCTTTTCTTTGCAAGTTTCTTAATGTTTTTCAACTTCTTTCTCTGTAGCAATCAACCTCTTTATGAACTAGAGTAACTCTCAACATATGATAAGGTGGATTCAACCTATTTCATAATGCTCTTTATTTTCAATTATCACCTTGGAGCAATTCAAGTTAACATTATTAAAAAATAAGTTATCTTGCTATAGATTGGATGGTTCTTTGTCTTGCATTCTTAAACAGTCTCTTTAATACCAATCAATTACACTTTCTTTTGCATGGCTAGAAGAAATGTAATATTTGAAAGCATATTTTTTTGATGTCGTGGAACTTGTGGTATCTATTGCAGATACAATCGGCCTCTTGATTTTATTGAATACCTTGGAGTTCCAACATAATTTGGTCATCCAAATTGTCATATCATTAATATTTTCTTCATCCAGACATAAAGTCTGTGTTGTCAGGTTTTTCTTTGCATAACCAAGCAACTCTTGTATCACTTCATTTGGGATCTTCTAAAACAATTTAACATTGCCTTTCCTTGCCCCTATCAAGTATTCCTTAGCTCAGTAAACCCCACCATTTTTAATTTTTTCATAATAAATGCACTTATGTTTAGTCACATTGCTTGTATTAATAAGTTGCATTTGTATTAATGATCTTTCCTTCTTATACCGTCAAACTTCTCCATTAAATATAAATTATAAACTAATAAATAAAAAATTACACCTGATAAATTTTTTTGACAAAGTTTAAAGGGTATCTCATAGATATGTCAAATAATCCAGTGATTCTTAAGCCAAACAAATGAGAAGAACGTATATGAAGACAATTAAAAAAATACCTGAAATTGATACCAAGCTAGAATGATCAAGAGAGAAGAAAAAATCAAGTCAATGACGTCTATAAATAAAGAGATTGAGTTGGATCCCAAGATGCGATAAATTAAGAATGGGCTGAGAGAAGGAGAATGTGAGTTCTAATCTGGCTCTCATTGACTCTACAATGGTGATAGAACCAATCTGAAAAAGAGTGAGAGTAGGAACATTGCAATAGGGCATACAAGAAGATGAGAGCGAGGGTGGACCATGATAGATTAGACAAGAAGATGATAGCTGGGGAGGCAAGACAAGACTAAAGCAACATAGTAAGAAATAGTGATAGAAACAATATCTAGGACATTTTAATTCAAGTGAACTGACACCTAGAACCAGGCATCACACTCTTCTCTTAAACCAATCAGCATTATTGGTTAAGAAGATGAGATTTGAAGATGACTGTGATTGGACCAAACAAGAATTAAAGAGCACGAAAGGCAATAGGAGACTGAGGAGTGCAACAAGAGATAAGCATATAACTGATACATATGGCATTTTAATTTACGTAACAAACCAACTTTGAATTTCTTAATATTGTTGGAAAGCGCAAATCATGCTACAAGCACTTTGTTACAAAGCACATAGCACTGTGACACTCACACATTGTGCTTCTCAATGCTTGTGGTTCGCAGACACATGAAGCATAGGGCACTGCTCTGCTCCACTCTTCTTTACTCTGCTTTTATATCAAAATATGCTTTTCAAACACTTTGATACTGGTGTATTTATCTTGTTTCATCCATGTAAAAACTCCCAATGTGGTTTCATCCTGTCATAACTAAGTTATATATAGTTTTGAATATGTGAAGCCTATGGCATCTCTCCACTCGGCTTCTATCAAAGAATGCTCGTAAAACTTTCTTAGATACTAGTGCATTAATCATGTTCCATCCCCGTAAAGAACTTCCTGTGGTTTCATGCTATCATAGAAAAGTCATATGCCGTTTTGAATGGATAGGTTTGTAGTTCTACTTTTATTATATGTCATATTATAAGTTAGCACACTGTCCCCTTATTATTCCTTCTATTTAGAATGAGAATTTCTTTCATCACCATTAGTCTTGTTTTGTAGACTCAACTTTATTATTAACTCATTTTGCAAGTGTTGTGGAATTATTTATCTTTTTTTATTCAATAGAATAATCTAATATTTCCGATTATATCTGGTAATTTGTAGCTCTGCAAAACAGCTGAAGAGCATCCAGACATTTTATTTCTCAAAGTTGACTTTGATAAGAATAAGCCAATGTGCAAAAGGTTGAATGTTAGAGTGCTTCCATTTTTTCATTTTTATCGAGGCGCTGAAGGAAGATTAGAGTCATTTTCATGCTCCCTAGCAAAGGTAAAAAATTGTGACATCAATATTTGTGAGCTCTCATATGAACTCTTGCCCTTTATTAGCTTGTTATTGTGGTCTTGATTACGCTTCATCTATGAAGTTAACACGATGAAAATTAAAAGTACTCTTCTTTTAACGCTTTGAAGGCTTGCATTACTTCCTAAATATGGACAAGGATCTCGCTCATATTATTTTAAAGATGTTTAACTAATTGGTTGGCTGATCTTTCCTTTCATCTCATAACTACTTTAATAGAAATGATATAATTTTAGGTTTGGATCCTGTACGCTTTAAACATTTAATTGATAAGGCGTATGATTTGAAAGCATAATTAAAGACCAGTAACATAGCTTTGTTTGTATTATCACCTTCTATAATCTTCATGATTACATATCTATTAAATTTTATTATGTCCCCCGATATTCTGATATCTTACTTATAACATACTGAATTCAAGTTCTTTATGTTTCTGTTAAGTAGTCATAACACTCTTCCTTTTGACTATAGAAGCATACAAAATTATATGCCATGCGGTTTCCATCTAACAATGATTTAAATATACACTTGCATTTTATAAAAAATTATTGTCTAGACTTTGAAATATGTGGGAATGTTTATTTTTCTCTTATTGTTCATTTGGTCCTATAGTTTAATGCCAACTCACGTCCATTATTACTTATATCAAGAGAAACTATTGACTGCGCTAATGTTATGCTGCTTTATATGAAAATAAGTCATCAATATACTAAAAACATGGACGAGCTATTCAGAATGTCCTTGAAATATGTTTGTGTTGCCAAAATGGGTTGTATGATCAATTGGTTTTATAGTAGGATAAATTTTTTGGGTTAGGATATCCTGACCAAATTCAGGTTAAGATGGTTTTCAAATTGAATTTGTTTTGAGATGAGTGTAATATATGTAGAATTAATTAAAATTTATATTGCACTAATGTCAAAATAAATTGAACATCCTTTGTATTCATCTGATCGTATATCTTGAACCAATTTTTTTCTTTCTTAATATGTATTTCCCATCAAAATAGAAATTATACAGATTTGTTAAAAAGAAACACCCAAAAGCCGAACCATCGCATTGCCAATGGAAGCTGAAGAGTGATAAATAAGTTTGTCACCTAATGGAGTCAACTCGTAAATGAGGAATGTGGGAAACTTGAACTTACTGGTTATAAATTGGAATATAATGGCTGGTGTCGATTGTGGAACTAGGACTGTTACAAACTGTTTAATATTGTTCACGAATTAATCTTAAAATTATTAATCATTCAAATCATTTCTTGATGGAAAGACTTATTGGGGGGAAATTATTGGGTTTGGTCACCGGACACATTTATACATCTGGAATTCAATAGGAGGATGCCACGTTGCGACCTGATGAACCGGCTCGATTTATTTAGTACGTGCTTTTCCATTTACCTTTGCCGCATAGTTTCCCTGAACCGAACCGGGTTCCTCGCAAAAATTTGAAAAAGGCCGCTCTTTTTTGTTATGTTTTATGAGAAATTGGTTGTTTTTTTCTACATTAGGGTTTATTGGATAATTTCTTAGAAGAGCGCTGTTAAGAGAAGTGAGGAAGACGAATTGAAAATGGAAATTTTTTTGGATTACGTCGAATCGTTCGAGGAGATGGAACAAACCGAAGACGTAAAGGAAGAAATGCTGGAGCAGACACGGAAGAAATTTATGGGATTTTTATGGTAAGATTTGAACCCGAAAGAGTTTTTAGGAAGAGATCTTATGAACGTAGAGTTCTTAATGTTTACAGTATTATTAAAGTTGGGAGTATTCCATGTATTGCTTCTCGGCACCTAGTGGTAGTACTAGCTCTGTATTTTTCAGCCCATGACACTTCTCTCGGTATTTTTTAGTCCACGATACCGAGCGGTACTAAGCATAATATTGAGTACCGAGAAAGATGTAGAGTGAAGTACCGAGCGGTACCGAGAGAAAAATACATAGAGAAGTACCGAGTTGTACATCTATCCGATTGCTTATAGCTAACGTTAAAATCATTTTCACATTTGCACAGGGTGTTTATTCAAGTGAGAAGGAAGCATATGACATGTATTGCAATTATGCTCATAACATATGATTCAGTGTTCGGAAGGACCATAATAGTTTTTGGTCAAATTCGAGGAAAATTAAATCAAAGGATTTTGTATGTTCGAAAGCTGGATTTAAGAAGGGCATTAACTTGAATTCCAATTCGAAATATCGAAGAGCCAATACTAGAACCGGGTGTCCAGCTATGATCAGATTTTTCAGTAAGTCAAGATAGAGTTTGGAAGGTTCAGAAATACATTGAGTGCCACAATCACGAATTAGCTAAGCCTGAAGATCAACATTTGCTTAGATCATGTAAGAACATCAGTGATGATAAGACCTCAGTTCTTAAATCCATGATAGAAGCTGGGATACGAACAGTTGATGCATTTACATACCTATGCGATGAAGCAGATGGTGATGGAAATATAGGATTCTCTAAGAGAGATGCATATAACTTTATTCAAAAGGAGAGAAGATCAAAGACTGAGAATAGGGACACGAATTCCCTTATTGAATTATTTAAAGAATTGCATGAGACGTACAAACTGACAAGAACGATAGATTGCCAATTTTTTTTGGGTAAATGATTTAGGGAGGATAGATTATGACTGTTTTGGTGATGTGATTATTTTTGATATTAACTATAGGCTTAAGATATATAATTTAGCTTGTGCTCCGATTGTTGGAGTAAATAATCATTGACATAATGTTCTTTTAGGTGTTATTTTTTTATCGGAGGAGACTATTGAATCATTTACCTGGTTATTTAAAATATTTTTATGAATAATGGGTAATAAACATCACATAACGATATTTACTGATCAGGACTAGGCAATGACTAAGGCGATTGAAATTGCGTTGCCCCAAACATGACATAGGCTGTGCCAATGGCACATAAGCAAGAAGGCTCCATCCAAGATGTGGTGCTACAATAGCAACAACAAAGTTAGATGTCTTTTTCATAAGTGTTTAAGTGTGATTCTGATGAAGAGTTTGAGAAATTCTGGACTGAAATGATCAATGAAGGAGACCTCCAAAGCCATGAATGGTTGAAAGAATTGTATAGAATCAGAAATAAGTGGTTAATGACATTTAATAAGAACTGTTTTAACCTAGCATTCTTTCTACACATCGTAGCGAGTCCACCAACAATGTGTGTCATGACATTTCCAAGCCAACAAGTTCTATAGCTAAATGTTTTCTGGGGTTAGAGAAGCTGATGATGAGTTGGTATCGAAATGAACATAATGAAGATTTCAGATGCTGCCAGTTTGACATAGTTCTTGTAGTTAAAAGTAGCCGAATACTAAAGCAAGCTGCAAATTTTTACACAAGGAAATTGTATTCTTTTTTTGATGAGTTCTTACAGGGTGTTGGTGGGATCATGCATGAAACGATGGATCCATTTTTTGTGAAAATTGATAGAAAAGATCATTCTTCTCATTGGATTGTTCACTTTAATTCAACGGAGGTACAATTGAATGCATTTGTGGGAAGTTCAGTATAATGGGATTACCTTGTTCTTATCGTATGAGAGTTATTAGACAATTAGATATCATTAGAATTCCTTCTCAGTATCGCTTGCCTCGATGGTTAGCTAGAGCTTGGAAGATTTTTTTTTTTAGATAGGTAACAGGCTTTGGAAAGAAAGTGAGCCAAACATAGGAGGGTGGTATTGCTATGATATTTAGAAATCATTTAAACAGATTTGCATATCAAGTTAGCACACGAGCACAGGGGAATGAAGATGCAGAATAGTACATATTGTCAGCAATGATCGAGATAGCTAAAAATGTTGACTTCATCCTTGTAGGAAAGAAAAACAACCAGCCATTTGTTCGCAAGAGAGCAGGTGGGGGACTTAAGAATGTTAAAGATCCACAAAATTGCAGGCCTAAAAAGACATTTCTAATGCAAGATTGAAGAGTCACTGGGAGATGAGAAAAACCAAGAAAAAAATATGCAGAGCAAGACTCGTAAACCACATAATAGTGTTCAACCACAGAAGAACCTATAATGCAGTCTCCTTTCACACAAATACCAGAATGCTTGATAGATGAGTTCATTAACCATCGACCAAGCACACAATCATCAGCTGAATATACATGAATGATGAAGGGAATTATTGATGCAGAAAAAACGTGATATGTAACATTTACATTTCAAATATGTCCTTGAATAATGTACTAATGATTTCATTTTGTACATCTTTTTTAAGAATTCGGCATGTTAGGTTTCAATGTGCATTGCTTTGAGATAGAATTTTTATGAATCATTGCAAATTTCCATAACTCGGTACAGCTTGGTACACTCGGTACTACTCTTTAAACTCGATATTTATCGGTACTTGGTATTTCTCGGTACTACTTGATATAGTCGGTACTTGGTATTTCTTGGTACTACTCGGTATACTCGGTGTTGCGCTTTACACTTGGTACACTCTTTGCTCGGTATCTTAACGCTCGGTACCTTAACGATCTGTATCTTAACGCTCGCTAGCTTATATTGAAATGGAATGTGAGCTATTTATATTGGGTAGAAGTTGTAGGTAAGCTATTTATTGTTGACAGATGGTGCAGGTAAGATATTCATAGTGAGACAGAATGGTGGTTGCAATGAGTAATTTAATGATAACATTTCTTCTAAATCGCCTACTGCCTCGTCTTCTCTCTCGACGTCAGGATAAATTTAGGTCATTATTATTTACAATCTGATATGGTCTACAAACTGCGTTGGCGGGAAAAACTAATCTACATCTTGGTATGGCAATCGAGGTATTCGTGAACATTGCAATAACTGCGATGCATGAAAAGATGTCAGATTCTCCTGATGGTCAACTTGAACAACTAGCAAGGGATAATAAAGTTTACAGATGTTGTCTGCATTACTCGAACAAGCGTTGTGATACTCAACTCCTAATTTCGCATTGAGAGGCAA